TACTATGTATATTGCTCGTAATTTTACGCGATAACATGCCCACTCATGTTTCTTCATTCTGTACATTTGTTGTCGTGCGTCATGTTGCTAGTTGCAGAAATTGCTCGGTGTGCCCTTCTGGTCATGTCAATATAAAGAAAGAAACAGATGAAGTGAATCGATATATATAATTTGTCGTATATTTTTTCCGCCTTATGTTCCTTATTCTTGCGCTGTTTGCCACAGTGCTGAACAATAAAGCTTATGCTGACTACAGCTGCCCACACGGCATTTGTCATTACTCTGTTTTAGGTTTATGACCACCACCTTTCTATTTATGAGCCTAAGTTACATGATGAGTATTTTAGGAGGCCTTTCTAAGCTTGGCTGTGATTAGCCTGCACGTTTGCCTGTGTTGCTCCTTCGTCACTGGACAACACTTAGGAGTGTCTTATAGACGTTAGGGCATAATAAAGTTATATATAAATATATTGTATACTCGCCTACAAGCCAAGTTAGGAGTATAAAGTGAATATCCTGTCGCGCGCGTGCGCGTGTACCTTCGTGCGCGTGTACCTTCACACGAACGAAAAGTCACACTGTAGTATGCTTGAACGTGGCTTATGAGACCTTGGAACTGTGTCTGGCTATTTCAATTAAAACGAACCTCTGCCTGTTGAAAATTATCGTAGTGATCAACTTCGGCGAAATCTATTCCGGCGGTAACAAGTATGACCACCGCTTGAGCATTAATGCCGTCACCGAGCCAACTTAAAACACTCGCGGCCGAGATTCATGCCCAAAATCTCACAGAGTGCTGAGCCTTGAGAAACACCGCCATACGTTTTTCTGTATGCAAACATTATTCATTGTAAAAGCGCACAGCAATGATATTGTGAAGTCAGCGCGACGTGACGAAAAAAAATAAATAGGTTGAGCAAATGGCAGGGGGGGGGGGGGGTTCGACGAAAAATTTTGGGGAAAGTTTGAACCCCCACAACCTTGGCTACGCCACTGACTATAGGGTGAAGCCCTTCACAGAACATTATCAAATGTTCAGCCGTTTCCTCCTCCTCTCCTGACGCACTACATAACGTGTCTATGCATTCGTATTTGACTTGGTACGTCTTGGCCCGCGATACTCCGGTTCTGGCCTCAGACAGCAGAGAACTACCCCGAGAATTATCGTAGATATTTTCTTTTGCAATTTCCCGCTTTAAAGTTCTGTAAGTCTCCATTGATGATTTCGTAAGCATTCCAATCTTCCACATGTCTCTCTCTGTTTTCTTCGCCTTCTTCTTAACCAATGTTTCCTTTAGGATTGCTATTCTGCTGTTGTCTAAATACTTGCGAGACAATTTTCGAGTTCGCTTCCTCCACTTAGTATTAACATTCTTCATGTAGAAGTAGCTGAAAACTTTCCTACCCCAACGCTCCTCTCCCATTTTTCTCAATCGCTCCTCAAATTCGATCTTGCTGCTAGCTTCCCTGCACTCGAACGATGTCCCTCCCACGTCAGCCTGTACCCCCTGATTTGGGGTATTCCCGTGTGCTCCCACAGCAAGTCTACCTATGTCAAGTTGTTTAATTTCCAATCTTACTTGATCCTCTGATTTCATACACATTGGCGCATTGCCGAACATCAAGCCCGAGACCATGACACCTTTCCTAATCTCTCTCACAACGTCATACCTACTGTAGTTCCACGGTGTTCTATCTTTTATCACTGCTGCATTCCTGTTACCCTTAGGCATTACGTATCTTTCGTGCTCCCTCAGCCCCGTTGTTTATCCATGCGCCCAAATATTTGTATTTATCCACTATATCTAGCATGACTTCCTGTATTTTAAACTCACTGCCTTCGTTATCATTAATATCATGATTACCAATTTTTCCCTGCTAAACTTCAAATTTAACCTATCTTCTTCATTACCACAGATGTCTATCAATCCCTGCATATCTTCCTTGTTGTCGGCTATTAATACTATATCATCTGCATACATCATTGCTGGTAATGACTGTTCAATGTGTTTTCTTTGTTTGGCAAAAGAGAGGCTGAAGCCGAGTCGACTCTCCTCTAATTTGGCTTCTAGTCTCTGCAGTTACGTAACAAAGAGGGCATGGGACATTCCTGTCGAAGCCCGCGTCTTATCTCTGTAGGTTCAGATACCTGTTCTTTCCATTTTTCAGAATCGCTGCCATCTGTCGGCCGTTGTGTGCCATGTTAGAGAGGGGGGGGGGGTGATTTTTAAAAGAGAGAAAAGGAGAAGAAAGTGAGCCCCGTAACTGTCTGCATCATAGTGCGACACATCAACAGTGGCCCACGAGGGATGTGGTGGATAAGGAGGGTTTGAAAGGATAGAGAGGATTAAAAGGGAATAGAGATAGAGATAGGGCAGAGACAGAGAGACCCACATACTGAAATAAAAACATAGGAAATATGGACACGGTCGCAGAAGTCCGAGGATGGGGCACCACTCAGCCAGAGCTCTTGTCGGCGTCAGCAGATGGCGTAGGACGAGCCAGTCGGCCAGAGCTGCGTTGTCGTCGGAGATCGCGGGGGCACAACCGGTCGGCACGAAATCCCGCGGGCGAATCTGTTAGACGCTCTGCGCAGCGCAGTACGCACAGGTCCTCGTGTGTTTACGTAGACGTATACGTAAGGCGCATCGACGTGATGCGTGTATTGGCTGATAATCGCAATGCCGGCGTATTGCTGCGTCTCTTGCAGCCCACAGAGAGGAACTCGAAATGCTGAAGGAAAAAAAGGAAAAAAGGTGAACTGTAAACTTTGTTCCTTGTTTTTTTTTTGTTCTTTTTCAAGCTGATGGCGTTCCCAGCATGAGCTCTGGCTACTGCTCGTGATATGCGTGTTCGCGTTCTCCTTTCTATGCAAGTAAGACGTGGAATGGCATTTGTATTCGTGTTCCCACATATTGCTACACGCTGAAGCAAGGCAGTTTTTGCAACGTTTTCGCTACCGGGTACCAAGTGAAGGTGACTCATACGTTTCACGCTGAAGTCACCTTCATGCAAAGAATTTTATCGCAGCTAATTTCGTTTGCCTACATTTCGTTGAATATGTTTTGTTTATTATGTTTGGGTAACGGCACACACTGAATTAGAAGCAAGTGCGCGTCATCGGTTCATTAAGAGGAGGGAGCAACGGTACTGAAGCGTACTTAATTTGTTTCGTGATGTTCCGTTCTCTCTTCTTGAGTGTTACAAGCAGCCGTTTAGTGGGATGACTTGCCCATGACTGCGACCGTTTTTTCAAGCATTCGACGTGCTCGGTATACATGCAACAAAATGCAGGCACATGCAATAAGCCCCAATAAAGCCCGTTGCATGAAGGTGGCTTCTGCGTAAAGCGTACGAGTCACCTTCACTTGGTAAACGGCTGCTAGCGAAACCGTTACAAAAACTGCCTTGGAACACGAATACAAATGCTATTGCATGTCGTACTTAATTAGAAAGGAGAACGCAAACACGTATTTCGGGAACAGTGGCCAGAGCTCACGCTAGAAACGCCATCAGCTTGAAAAAAAAGGGAGGGGGAAAAAGGTTGCGGCTTACCTTTTTCCCCCATTGAGAGAAGGGGAAAACAACATATCCCACATGAATGGAAGCAGGACTTCATCATAAACCACTTCCAGGCAACATGCATCGTCAGTTCCACGAACATCGACGTCGGGCACGGGCAAAAGTTCACGACACCTACTCAGATACTGAGGGCGCCTTCTTTGTCGATGCAGCTGGACCAGTGAATGCAAATATACAGCAAGCTTCATTTGTGGAAAACAGGTTGATTGTATATCAGCCCAGGACAGAGACACAACTAGTATGGAAGAAGCAAGAATCGCCCTCGCCCTACGAAACCCAAGGTCCACTTTCGTTCTCACACATTCAAAAGCAGCCTAGCGAAATTTTCGTAAAGGCTACATTGCCCCCGTTGCGCATCGACTTCTTACACAACTCTCGTCTTCACGCTCAGAGGGCGAATGGAAACAGCTGATATGGATATCCGGCCACTGCGGAGTTAGAGGCAACGAGCTCGCCCATGCCTCGACCCAAGAATTTCTCTTCTGGACCTCCGACCCCGGCATATTGAACCCACCCTTGCCTATGCGTATGGACCCGCTCCTAACATGGACAGGTATTCTAGAACATCAAAGACTCGAAAGACGGAAACATCCGCCCCCGGAGCCAAAGCTCAGTAAAGAATCTCAGGTAGCGTGGCGTCGCCTGCAGACCTTGTCTTACCCTAATCCATACATACTGTCCAAGATAGATCCCGTTACATACGCACCACAGTAAAGGTTCTGCGTCACTAAAACAGCCACCCTGTACCACAAGGTATGGGAATGCCCACACAATCCACCTCTACAACCCAGAGCACAGGACAACACTGTAAGGCGGGAGGCAACTCTGTCCGGCTCGGATACGAAGACCCAAGAGGCCCTCGTGAGACGAGCGAGGACAGCAGCCCGTGCCAATGGGATCCCTGACTAAGGAACTCACTGACCGACATTCCTTCCTCGGTCGCAAATAAATGTTTTATTCTCTCTCTCTCTCTACCTTTTTTCCTTCAGCATTCAGAGTTCGTATCTGTGTGACGCAGAAATACGTCGGCATTGCGATTATCAGCCAATACACGCCTCACGTCGATACGCCTTCCGTATACGTAAACACATGCGGACCTGCGCGTACTGCTCGGGTGGCTAGTACTGTGCCGCGCGGATCCTCTAACGTGGCGGCTATGCACACGATGGCCGACAGATGGCAGAAATTTGTTGTTTACTCGAACCTCGCGAAAAAAAAAGATCCGTAGACATGTTGTGAGAGGTAGCGGATACCGAATTCGCAATAAATTCACGAATGCAAAACCTCTTCAGTGTCCCTTTAAGACAAGATGTCTAAGATTCCTGACTAGGACTGTTGGGCGTCCAGATCACATAAGAACGTAGTCTTTGAGCAGGACTCAGAGCTGTAGCCAACACTTTGGCACCTTGCAGCCACACCTCTTCTCCTTCATTTAGGGCACGGAGATGCTTTGCAGCATAGTGAGTATCGAAGTTCCTGGCTTGTGCTTGTCGTTGTCTTTTGTCCCTGTCTTCAAAGTCATTGGTGGACGGCCTGTCCAGCTGGAGCTTCTTCCTCAGAACTCGGATGCGCGTTCGAAGGGAGCGTACCATCAGGAGCTCAGCTGGATTATAGCCGCAGATGTCTGAGGTGTTACGGTAAGCGAGTAAGGTTAAGAAGGGATGCATCGTTTTTTTAATATGCCCTTAATAGTATGAACCATTCACTCTACCTCCCCGTTAGATTGCGGATAATGGGGCTACTTGTAATGTTCCGTAATCTATATACCTCGGCAAAGTTCCGAAATGCTGTACAAGCAAACTGTGGCCCATTGTCGCTGATCACGGTATCTGGAATGTCATGTCGTCCAAAAATGCTTTTCGTTGCGAGGATGACCGCATCAGCCCACGTGGATCGCAGTGAAATTACTTCCGGATATCTAGAGTGGCAGTCCACTACTAGCAAGAAATCTTGAGCATCCATATGGAATAAATATATGATGACTTGCTCCCAAGGTGAGGAGGGAGCCTTGGTGCTGATTAGAGGCTCAGCCGGCTAGATTCTAGTAATAGCACAAGGTCGACAGTTGGATATGGCTGTCTTGAATTGGCTAGTGATGCCAGGCCACCAGAGCCAACTTCTGGCTAAAGCCAAACACCGGTTGATGCCTTGATGGTCATCGTGCAGTCATTCCAGCATGTTCTTGCACAAAACATTTGGTACCATAAGCCTTTCACCCATCACTAACCAGCCTTCAGAGACAGAGAACTTTCTACGATATTCCCAAAAGGTAAACATGTTAAGGGGTTGTAAGCGGGCCTGCAGTCAGGTGATGAACAACGTTTATTGTCGTTGAAACGAAGTAGATAGAGGCAAGAATGGTGACGTAACAGGTCACGTGATTTCAAAGAAATGGCTGGTGATGTCGGAGTGACTCAGCCATGCTACAGGGGTAACCAATCATGTCTGGGCTAGTAGAGTATTCTGTTAGGGTAGGTATCTATCCAAGTCTGCTGGGCTTTGAAGTTATCCAGACGTGCTGCCAAAGTCGAAGGGAGAGCCGCAAGTACCTGGGATACTTCCACGTTGTTTGCTGAAACTGGGTGAGACTTGACGGTCCCTGGACAGAGTGTCCGTCGTGGCTAGGAATTAGCCTGGTACATATCTGGTAGAGAACTGGTGCGGAATCAGTCGTATCCGGAAACGTTGTACCCTTGTAGGCATGACGTCGAGGTCAGCTGAACCAAGCAGCTTGGCAAATGGTTTGTTATTGGTCTCGATGATAAACTTGAGGCCCCACAATAACTTCTCGAATCTTTGGACAGCCCACGCAACAGCCAGAACTTGCTTCACAATTAGGCTGTATTTATGCTCTGCAGTGGTGAGAGCACTTCATGCAAAAGCGACCGGATGCCTTTCGCCGTTATGTTGGTCTAGTAAGAGTACGGCTCTAAGTGCACAAGAGCTAGCATCGTCAGATACAATTGTTGTTATCCACGTTACGCGTCATAACATCCGGAAAAGAGGCACAAAAATGGGTCATTTTTAGGGATTCGCAGGCTGCTCTAGCGTCGCTGCAAAGTGATAGAAAACTCTTTCTAAACGCTTCCCTATTGTATGAGACCTTAAAAGAAATCGCATAAGCAAGTGAAATGAACCACGAGATCACATTTCAACGAATACCATGTCACTACAATATTCCAGAAAACACTGCACTCGACGCCGCGGCAAATAGGGCCCACAATAACGAAGGAAGAATTTTGCTGCCAATTTCACGCACAAAAATGCGTCTACTCCTTAGACAGATAACCTGTAGCGTCACCAAATTCAAATGGTTCGACAAAAAATCTAAAAGTTCAAAATTATATTTAATAGACCCTTGCATAAAGCTAAGCATTCCATTGGAGTTAAAAAGTAAACAGGAGATTTGAAACATTGGTCCACCGCCCACGGCTTCGTACAGCATTTATGCGACATTTCCTGCACAGGATAAAACGTTTACCTTGTACAGACTGCTCCTGCGTACACCTTCACCAAAATGTACGTCAGCTGCTTCTGGAGGGCCCAAAATATGAGACACATTAAAAAGTATTACGAGCAAGTTTGCAACTTTTATATATAGGTGGCCTTTCACAGTGATGGAAATACTAGGTCCATGGCCAACTGCACATTTCAAAAAACAGCACTTGTCGCCTTCAAGAAGTTTCTTGAAGAATCAAATACTTTATGGAACTATTGACCTACGTGGTGTCGCCTTCACGCTAAAGGACATGTGTAATATTTAGCTAGCTTGTTTCATATGTGTAATTATTTGCCTCAGTGTGAACTGACCTTATGTGTGGAACTTGTTTGCGCAAGGATCTTTTTTTTTCTGAGGCGGGGGGGGGGGGGTCAAAAACGACAATTCCGTTTCTTCAGGGGCGCGTGACAGGGAGGCGCAAAGCTTACGCGTTGTGTTTTGACAACGCTTGCTTTTGGGGTGTGGGGGGAGGGGGGCGAACGAAGGGGGCAGGCGAGAATTCTGGAGGAGGCTTCAGCCCACCCGTGTCACCCCCCCGCCCCCCCCCCTATAGTGTCACTGGCGTAGTCGAAACATGCGAGATAATGATCGTACCCCACTGGCTTCGCTCACTTGATTCGTGGAGATGCGTGGATTTTTTTTATTAGTATTATTGTGCCCATTTGAGTGGCTGAGACGCGGGGGCTGCGTGTGCGAGGAGAACCGAGGAGGGAAACGCGCGTCCGAGTGGAAGGGAGAGTATTTTCCTAAATAAAGAGATTTCAAAACTATATGCGCTGAACAAGGCTTTAACTTTCCTATTCATTGTCGGCATAAACGTATCGCTAGCGCGCAGGCACTCGCCACATGTATGTTTAGGTGGGTATCAACCAGTTACTGTATCATATGTTTAGGCGGACTGTACCATGCTCACTTTGCGCGGTCGGCGGTTATTCAAACATTGATCGTTCTGTTACAGCTCTATCATTGAGTGGTGCAAAAGGGATCGACTATCTCTCATGCGAGAGCGATTATGAACATTTACCGAAGACGAACACGATGAAATAAGAAGCACTGATACCAGAATAATACTGACGCTATTCGACCATCAATATCCTACCTTTGACCCCTCCACACCTAATTCGATAACCGTCCCCTTCACTGAAACTGACTAAAATTATTTCATTCATAGTTTCCTAGGTGCCTTAGGTCCCTAGGCTCTGCCCTAGGTACTGAGTACATGATCACGTGATACAAGTATGTCGCGCGCGGCTACAGTCGCTTGTGTACTAGCGCGGCTGTTGTGTGGAGGTTTTAGCGTATTCTTTTGTGGTTTCTCGTTTAAACGTTTTGAGTTTGGCGTCGTGACGTAGATAATTATGTTACAATAGCTGTCATTTGAGAACAGCCGGGGTTGAAACAGCTAAAATTTGGCGGGGTGATGTCACTGTTCGTGAACGCCCGTCAATGTGCCTGACCGGGTTGACACATCAATACAATGTTTTCAGGAGCGCGCATATTTATTGTGCCTACAGGTATTGGAGGCCCACGGGTGCAACTCTACAAGAGCAAAGTGGTTGAGCTCGGGGCCACAGTTGTGGGCGACGAAAAACAGGCCACGCACATAGTCGTGTCGGAGTCCTTGGAAAGAGACCGTTTCTTCAAAATATTGGATACAGTAAACTTGCCTACAGCTGCGAAAATTGTGAAGTGCACGTGGCTTAGCGAGTGCTTGAAGAACAGCTCATTAATGCAAACAACGACGCACGAACTGCCCTGGAAGTCATCGCCGAGTACGTGCAGCGACAGTAGTGTTTCATCAGAGCGAGCGAAACTTGAGCTTGCAGATTGTGTAGGATCAGCCTGCTGCCGTCTCGGGGCGAGGAATCCTCATGATGCAAAAAAACTGTGGCTTTTCGGTACGTCCAACCTGCGCATTGATCGTTAAGTGTTTGAAGTTTATTTGCTCTGTGGTTTTACAGGAGTGGGAGCAGAGGCTAAGGCTGTGCAGCTTGAAGAGGCCACTGATCCCGATTGCAGTTTGGCACGCAGGCCGCTGAACGTCGTAGTATTATAACATATGACTAGTGCAATTTCTGACATTGCACAATAACAACAGAAATAAGCATATAGTCTAATTAATGATCCTAAACATAAGAAGGTTCGCCACACAATGCAAGTTGATTATCTGATGTTAGAAATCAAACACAAACTATATCAGGCATACTTAAAATGCTGTGTTATAGTTTAAGTGGAATCTGTGAGACCGTGTGGACGATTTAATTATGTAGGTATTTGTTATTTCACATGTTGTCCTCCATATTGGAATTCTTTAGTGTTGCTTGTGCATGTTCCAAGTGTTGAGTGTATGCCCAGTAATTATAAATATATATAATCTTTTCACTCTAATGTTTGGATCCAGGACAAGTGGGTTTGTGCAGTTCCCTTCACAGACGTGCTTGTGAAGAAGAATGCCCACATAACAGACCAGTTGGAGGTGATGCCTATTGCACCAACCTTGTGAGCTTTCTGACAAACCGAGGTTGTTCTATTACAGGCCATGGTTGAAACTTATCAAAGCACTAAGGATCACTGGAGAGCACTAGGTTATAAAAAAGCCATCATGCAGCAAAAACGGCATCCAACCGAGATCACAACAAGGGAGGTAATAACGTAGGTATGAATACAACTTATAGTACACTATTTACCAACAATGGCACCAAAGTATGGGTTGTAGCAAAGTTCACACAGATATATTCTTATTTCTTCGATTCTAATTCACTTTATTTCAGTAAATGTTTGTTCTGACATAGAGTTAGCAGTGTTAATGAAACCACATGAATACTTGACAAAAGAGAAATGAGTTACAAAAGCATATAAATCTCAACTAATGCGCTCAATTGTTCTAGCTGATGAACACAAAGATGTATTGTTGTCTCCCTACTACAGGTACATAATCTAATGGCAGAATGCGAGGCCAAATTTTGAATTGTAAAACGCCTTGGTGGTGTGCCTCGAAAGCAATGAAGATACGCAAGAAACCTTTAGAGTGATTTCAGATTGGTCAGATGAGAGACGTATGCATCAGTCGGCACTTGTTGATTTTTCAAAAAA